CAGGAGTGCAATGGCGTGATGTTGGCTCACTGCAACCTCCGCCTCCTGGGTTCAAGTGATTCTCCTGCCTCAGCCTCCTGAGTAGCTGGGATCACAGACATGTGCCACCATGCCCGGCTAATTTTGTATTTTTAGTAGAGACAGGGTTTCATGTTGGTCAGGCTGGTCTCGAACTCCTGACCTCAGGTGATTGGCCCGCCTCAGCTTCCCAAAGTGTTGGGATTACAGGCGTGAGCCACCGCGCCCAGCCAGATGTTTCTTTACAGTAATGCAAGAATGGCCTAATACAGGGGGTAGGAGAATACTTCTTAACACAGAACACGAAAAGCATGAATCATGAAAAAGATCGGTAAGGTGGGCAATCCTAAAATTACAAATCTTCCTCAAGACACAGAAGACAGCAAAGGTGCATGCTGCGGAGTGGGAGGAGTGGTCAATTCATGCAACGGACCAAGCACTCACATCCACATGTGTAAAGAATGGCCCCAAATCAATAAAAACAGACGGACAAGCCGAGGTCGATGGGTGAGACCAGAAGGTGCTTTGCAGGAGGACGCCCGATGCCTGCAGACAAAAGGACAGGCTCTCCACCTCGTCCTCACCAGGGACACGCACAGCGGGAGCTCGCCAAGTCAGCGGGAAGCATGGCCACAGCGGCACTTGGGAAGGGGGACCGAGGCGGTGCTACTGGTTGCGGTGCCGGGTACAACCCCTTTGGAGCACTCCTGGGCAGCCCCACTGAGCATCAGCACACCCTGCAATCCACGACACATTGTGAACTCAAGAAAGTGCATTTCTGTGCGCCTCGAAAGACACTGGAACACTGCGGCAACATGGTTTGCCACGGTCCCAAATGGGACCTGCCCACACGCAGAGCAGTGGATGGATGAAGGCACTGTGGTCTATCCAAGCACAGGACACTAGAAAGCAAGAAATCAAACACGACACAACACGGCTCCATTTTTATGAAGCTCAGAGAGCGAGGAGCGCCCATGTTGGTGCTGGAATCCAGGCCCCCGCTGACCATGGAAGCAGCCCTGAGGGGCGGCGGTGGCACAGCACGCTCATGGTTCACTGGGCTGTCATATGAATAACTTGCACACGTTTTTAGGTATGTGTTCGCCTTCAGTTACTTTTCTCACAGGCTTTCCTCTGAAAATACTAAGACTTGGGACAGCTTTGTGACTCGGCCCTTCAGCAGCCAGAGGTCCACGCGCACGCGAGCAGCTGGGCTGCTGTGCCCCTGGCCTGACCTGTTTGCAGTGGTCACATCTTGTCAGCATGAGACAGTGCTTCCAATAGTGGAGATCCAGGCCTTCCTCTGTGAAGGATTCGCTCCTTTCCCCACAAAAAATACACAAACTAAAAGGAAAGAAAAGCAGGAAATAAAGGTAAACATCTAGTTCCAGTGATGGCCGTTCTGCTCCCACTTCACCAGGAAATTCCCAATTTCCCCAGGCCCTGTGATGCTTGCACTTTCCCTCTCACCCCGAACTGCCTCAGCTTGCTCTGCGGGGCCCAGGCTGGGCCTCCCTTGTGGGCGGCAGCAAAGGCTGGGTGTGCCACGCGTTAAAAGCACCACAGGAAAGCCTTCAGCAAGGAGGTGCCTGAAATTACGATCCTTCCAAACTCTCACTCGGCATAATCAATCAGAAAAGATATTTTAAATTACAAGAAAAAAGATAAGACCAAGACCTGTCTTGGCTGCCGTAAAGTCAAAAGGATCTTGCTGCTGTGACAGTGTGTGCCTGTAACCACAGTTCTGACAAACAGACCGGCGACTTCCACTGGGGCAGCAGAGGGAAAGCTGTCTGCAATGACTCGGCGTGGGTGCTGGTGAGTGCAGAAGGCACATTTCCTAGCTTTTATGATGACTATGAAGGGCCGACTAATACACACATTGCAGTGAACTAGGGAGGACGTGTTCCCTTTCCACGGTTTCTGCATGGCTCCTTGTCCTGACTGTCACACAGGGGGTGGAAGACAGAGAGACTCACTTATCTAGACAGTGCCCATCCACCTGACCGTCACACAGCGGGTGGA